CCTGCCTGCCTTCCAGCCTTCCATCCTGCCTGCCTTCCTGCCTTCCTTCCTGCCTGCCTTCCTTCCTGCCTGCCAGCCTTCCATCCTGCCTGCCTTCCTGCCTGCCTTCCAGCCTTCCATCCTGCCTGCCTTCCTTCCTGCCCGCCTTCCAGCCTTCCATCCTGCCTGCCTTCCTGCCTGCCTTCCTGTCTGCCTGCCTGCCTTCCTTCCTGCCTACTTTCCTGCCTTCCTGCCTGCCTTCCTGCATTCCTGCCTGCCTTCCTGTCTGCCTGCCTGCCTTCCTGCCTGCCTTCCTTCATGCCTGCCTTCCTGTCTGCCTGCCTGCCTTCTGCATTCCCGCCTGCCTTCCTGCATTCCTGCCTGCCTTCCTTCCTTCCTGCCTTCCTTCCTGCCTTCCTTCCTTCCTGCCTGCCTTCCTGCCTGCCTTCCAGCCTTCCATCCTGCCTGCCTTCCTTCCTGCCTGCCTTCCTTCCTGCCTGCCTTCCTGCCTGCCTGCCTTCCTGCCTGCCTGCCTTCCTGCCTGCCAGCCTTCCATCCTGCCTGCCTTCCTGCCTGCCTTCCAGCCTTCCATCCTGCCTGCCTTCCTTCCTGCCCGCCTTCCAGCCTTCCATCCTGCCTGCCTTCCTGCCTGCCTGCCTTCCTGTCTGCCTGCCTGCCTTCCTTCCTGCCTGCTTTCCTGCCTTCCTGCCTGCCTTCCTTCCTGCCTGCCTTCCAGCCTTCCAGCCTTCTTGCCTTCCTGCCTTCCAGCCTTCCATCCTGTCTGCCTTCCTGCCTTCCAGTCTTCCTGTTGTTCTTCTTCCTAGTTCTTGAGCTTGCTTTCTCCCATCCCCCTTTTCTCCTCCTCATCAGACTCATCTTTACAAAGACTAGTTTTCAGAGACATCCAAAGTTTTCCCAAGCAAAAACATCCTAAGGCTTCTGACTAAAGCGTGTGTAAAATTTCTCTGAGATTCCTGGTTCATTCTCTTTCTGCCCTCTCTATCCTGCTCTCGTATTTGAGTGTTGTTTGTGAAGTAGCTTGCTGACAATATTAGGGTGTCCTTTCGGAACCTTTCATCATCTGTCACTGAGAGAGCTTTCTTTTTAATGGACTGCTCTACACCCATGACTCCTTCATCTTGGGGATATATTGTTTCTGAATAAAAAGCACACCCCAAAATCCTTGAGTGTAAATGTAACGATAAGTGCAGTGTGGCTTCAGAGTTACTGTTTGTGCCTACCAAGAAGGATGGACTGTGCAGGCTGCTCTTCACTGGGCATGGCTCTGCTGATTGACAGTTGACCCTCAGGCCATTCCATCTGCTTAGAGTCCGTGGACTTTTGGAGAAGGTGTCTAGCTTTTAGCCCTGTATTTGCTACCTGTGACTTCAGGGAGAAGAAGAAAGGGGAGAGGGAGCATTAGCAACAGTTTTGAGAGTCAGTTTTCTGTGTCTTCTGACATCCGCTGGTATGCCCTCGTTCCTAATGGCATCTGTAAGAGCCCACTGTGTTCTTGGGAGTGTTTGACTCACTTTGAAGGGGCGCTGCCCGATCACTGCAGTGCAGAGGAGAGAAACTGCTGTTTCCACAAAGAAATTTGTCTGTACTCGTTTTCCTGTGGAGCAGCGGTAACCTTGCCTGCTTGTTCCCCCTGGCCCTCGATCCTCAGTTTACCTTTGGCCTTGTGTGTGGACCAGCAGGTGTCTCCCAAGTACTTCCCTTGAGTGCAGCAGGCAGCCGGGCCATCAGGCAGCCCTAGCCACTGCTCTGAGTCTCCTTTGAGAAGGTGGACTCAAACCCTGGGCTCGGCAGGGAGTCTAAGGGACTTGCACGCTCCCTGACTTGTGTTGTTAATTTTGATGCTAACAGCTTACTCTGAGTTTTTTGTTGGGGCCTGCGGTGGACCAAGAAAACTGAACGTTCCCTGTTTCTATTTCTGTGTTCACCACTTGGGGGGGGGCATCCCACATCCAGAGTCTTCCCTGCACCCTCCATCAAACGCTGTCTGCCATTATCCATTAGACGCCATCGGGGGTTTGCGGAAGGGCCAAGCAGCTCTGCAGGTCAGGAGAGCGTCCAGGGTGCTTTGCCTTGACTGAGCAACCCCAACTGGCATCTTTGGAAGTATCCTTTCCCTAAGACTGAGCACAAAGGAAAGTTGAGTTGTGGTGGGGAGCAAAATATGTCTTGACTTTTTTAAATCTAGGTTCTGAACTCTGTATGGTTTCCAGTAATCATGGTGTTTTATTGGAAACGTGGAAAAAGAAAGGCTGAGCAGATGCCACTGTTGTCCTCTTAGAGACACGAGAATGGTGATATTGCCACCCTCACCGGAGGCTTTCTAGTATTTGCAATTTGTTTCTTCTTGCGATCGTGTGTTACACACACGCTCGCGCACACGCACTAATTTATCTCCCTGAGATGGGCTGTGGCTGTGTTGGTTGGTCTTGAACCTCTGGGCACAAGTGATAATCTTGCCGTAGCTCTCCACGTGTCTGTGGCAACATGCCGCAGCACCAGGCTTTCACTTCATCCATTTACAAGCTTATTTTCTGGGGCATTAAGTACACAGCCATCCATACCTTCAGCTGCTTTGTCCTGGCTCCTTTTCTGTCCCTCCGGTTCCCAGGCCTGGGACATGCGGAAATTTCTGTTGTCACCATGCAGCGACGATACACAACGGATGCTCAGGCCGAAGAGCCTCGCCTCCCTCCCGCTGCTCAGACCCTGGGTGACTGTTTTCTGCTTCTCTGTCACCAGTGAGAACAATCTCCAGGAGGACCTCTTCGATCAGATCTTGGCTGGGAAGCTGGAGTTTCCAGCCCCATACTGGGACAGCATCACAGACTCTGCCAAGGTACTGTGGGGGCGGCTCCTGCCTGCATTGTAGGCTCCAGAGACATGGCCCCAGTGTGGACTTTTAAGTTCAACCTGTAGTGTAGTCTGTGGCATCCCTGACTAGATAAGGTCCGCCCTCGGCTGCTCGCCTAATCGCTGTACACATCTGAACACTCACTTCTTAGAGAAGTCTGTGCTGTGCACTCACCAGAATGTAAGGATGGGTTAACGATGTACTAAGCCACGGAAAGGGAAGACATCGAGCTATGCTGTGGAGTGAGGATGGACAGGTCTCAGGAGGGACCGTCCGGGTCCCTGCAGGTTCCAGGGAGGCTCCGTGTCCCGGGACACGCAGACACAGGCCGTGTGTCTGTGCCTGTCTCCTAGGCACTGACGTGGGGGGTGGTTGGCGTCATGCTCCAGCGGCTGAGCTGCTGTGTTGGCTTCTGGTTTCCGTATTTACGCAGGAATTGCCCTCTTTCTCCTTCTCTGTGGTTTTCTTCCCCTCCCCTTTCCTCCCCTTCCTCCCTTTTAGGAATTGATCAGTCAGATGCTTCAGGTAAACGTTGAGGCGCGCTGTACAGCGGGAGAAATCCTGAGCCACCCTTGGGTGTCTGTAAGTACCCACGGGCACAGGAGGTGAATGGTCCGTGTCGTGGGCGCGGCAGCATGCTTCCTTGCTGGGTGTTTGCACAGACACAGTTGGGCATTCAAGCGTCATAGGGGAAGATTCAGAGTCCGGCACCTGCTCAGTGGATGCTGGCCCTTCTGTGAAGGGCTGGCCCCGGGGCTCTTTTCCCTTCGGGGCTCCATTCTGGTTTGGGTTTGTTGTTTTCCCCAGAGACGAGCGCGTTCGAGGCTGTGGCCTCTGCGTCTTCCAGCCCTGTGAGAGGCGACAGTCTCCTCAGGGGAGGATGTGGTGTTGGCCAGGGCAACACGCCCTCTGGGCAAACATGGTGAACCAGGGCCAGGTCCTCACGGTTGGTTCAGCAGCCGCCGGCTGCCTCGGCTGCCTCGTGGAGGGGCCAGCAGACCTGATCTCCGCCGTGGGATCTTGTCACGGGAGGAAAGGGGCCAGCACTGCTCTTGGCCTGCTGCAGGGCCCAGGCTAGTTCAGAGCCCCCGCCCCCACCCTGGTTCCGAGAAGGGGCGGATGGCACGAGGGGTGCCCTGCCGCGCTGAGGGTGACGACGTCCCGGGCGGGAGGCAGGGCCGGGACAGTGGAGGGGGACGTCACTGGCCACTCTTTTCCAGGACGACGCCTCGCAGGAGAACAACATGCAGGCCGAGGTCACAGGTAAACTCAAGCAGCACTTTAACCAAGCGCTCCCCAAGCAGAACAGCACCACCCCCGGGGTCTCCGTCATCATGGTGAGTGGGAGCCTGCCTGCCGGCCTGCCTGGCTCCAGGACGGGCCTGGTTCGTGGGAAGGACTGGCATGTGCTCCAGCCGGGGTCGCATGGCAGGGGCGGGAGCGCAGCTGAGACCCCTAGGGGGAGAGTGCAGCCCACGGGCTGGGCAGGGGAAGGAGATGAGGCCCAGCCTGCTCCAGGCCTCTGGTTGATGTGCCGTTTCTTTTGGACTTGGGATAGGAAACAGCCAAGTGAACAAATTTCACTTTTCAAAGAGCATTTGGTTAAAATAGTTGGTGTGTTTGTAAAGCCATAAAAGAATACTTTTTTATTTAAAGTATTATAGTTAAAATTTTATTTAAAAAGTTAGCGACAATGAGCCTATTTTTGTACTTCTTCAAAATACTTAAGGCCACATAGCTAAACATTTAAACACACACACACAAATGAAAAGTAACATTAGGGAGAGCCAAAAGAAAATGCAGGACCTGAAAGTAAAACAGAAGCGAGGCCGTTAGTTCAGTCCCAGCCGACCAGGCGTGAGCTCTCGACAAGTGGGGCTGCTCTCTCAGCAGCTGCTGCTACCCACAAGGCCAGGGGCGGCCTCCGCCCTCCCTGCAGATCTGCAGACAGGCCAGGCCTGATGTCCGCAGCCTCTCCTGGGGGCGGCTTTTCCCCACAGGAAAGTTCTCTGTGCTTTTCCCCACACCACACGGAAATGGACTTCTCTCTCTTCAGCGAGGGAGTGTGGGGACAGTGGGAGTCCAGGAAGCCACACCCTGCACACACCTTCGTGGACACGCGCTGTGCTCTCGGCTAAGCCCTGCCCACATCCTGTTAGGTGTTCCCGAGGATGCCGGCCCTCCCTCCTCGGAGGCTTGTCTAGCCCGGCCCTGCTGGGAGCTGCGCGCTCCCCCCCCCCCCCCCCCCCCCCCCCCCCCCCCCCCCCGGGCCCCCGGGTGCCCCCCCCCCCCCCCGGGGGGGTGGCGCGCCCCCGCCCCGGGGGGGGGGCGCGCCCCCCCCCCCCCCCCCCGCACGGCTTTGTGTCCCTTGCAGGACTTTGGGATGCCCCCTGAACACAGGAAGGCTGGAGCTGTGGTTTTGCTGACCCCTGGAGCATGCTTTCTGAGGTGGCACAGAACTGTGACCTCACTGGGCTGAGCAGAAGGACACTTCCCAGGGATGGTTTTTGAGATGCACCCCATGAGCAGAAGCAGTGTGCATTGGTGCCAGGCATGGCGTTAGAGGCAGCTGTGTGAAAAGCAGTCAGCATTTGTGCTAGGGTGCAGCTCAGCGGCTGAGGCCTCAACAACCCCCAAATGTATATTCAGCTGTAGTACAAGTCTTGAAGAGAGTTTGTTGGAGTCAGAATTTCCTATCACACGCTAGTTGGCTCTCTAATGGTCTAAGGCTTGTTGGTTTCACAGTCCTGTGCCCAGTGGCTCACTGGAGTCAGTGGCCAGGGAGGCCTGCCCCTGCCCCCTGCCCCCTGCCACGCAGCTGAGGTCCTTCAGGCAGCTGTGAGCTGCACGAGCTCACACCTGTGCTGTGGGCGGCCATGTGGAGCCTCTCGTTGCTCACACAGCCTTTTCCCCGATGGACGTGGATGCCGAACCCTCGAATTTTAACAGGGTGTTCCTGTGCTCAACTACCCTTAGGTGGCTGTTTAAGGATTGTGTGTTGGTGTGTCTGCACATGTTGGTGGCATCCACCAGTGGTCCCTCCCGAGCAGACTGTGGCATCGTTGCCTTCGGGATCTCCTGGGATATTCCTGGGACTTTTCTGGCAGTCTCTGTCCTCGGTGGCTCAAAAGCCCCCTGCCAAATTCTCACTTGTCCCCAAGAGTCAAGGCTTCTTGCCTGCTCTTGCCCAGGTCAGGGCTGTGCCGGGTGTGGATGCAGGGTATGGCTGTGAGACCTTTGGGCCCCGTCTCGTCAGGACTGTATACTGAGGCCTGCTATCCCGGGGACAGTTTTAAATTGTTTTATATTTAAATAACCACAAGATGCCTACCTCGGCATTAACTTGTCACCGCTGTGGCCGAAGTGCAGGGAGTGCTCTGTAGCTGAGATGGCCTCTGTGCATATTTAAAGAGGCCCTTCCTGTCTCCTGCCACCCAGTCTTCTTCCCAGAGCAGGTGCCTGAGGCACCAGAGGAACGTTAGGGCCTGGGCTGGTTCACAAAGGCGAAGGAGCCGAAGCTGACGCTGTTGTCTGCATTTCACTTGACAGTTTGATTTGACAGTTTGAGAGCCACCTAGAGTTTCGTTCTTCCCCTGTTGAGACTATGGGAAGCCCCGGAGCTGATTCTGGTATCCAACACACTGTGCTCACGAAAGCCAACCTAATTCTCAGCCCCTCTTCCAACTGCATGCTTGTCTCAGATGCCTGGCCCTTGGCTTCCTGCTGGGATGGGGCCTCTGAAACCGCCGAGCTCCTGGCCAGCCCAGCCCAGCACGCCTTTGGGGAGCTTTGCCGTTAAGTTAAACCTAGCTTTGCCGTTAAGTTAGAGCTATCTTGTCAGGCTGCCTGCTCAGGAGCAGCGTCCCAGCAGTTCTGTGCCCTGCTCCTGTTTACACAGGCGAAGGCCATCTTTCTGCAAATGACAGCAGGGGATGAGGGTTCTGTGCTTCGTCCACAGTTACATTTTCATCAGTGAGACTGTGTGACAGTCTCCGGGATAAGAACATGAGCATAGTGGAGAGAGTTTCAGAGAGGCCGATGGCTCCGGGTCTCATTTTGGATTTCCCTGACAGTCCTTAGTGTGCCGGTGAAGGACAGTGAATTTGGGAGGGCCTTCTTTGTCCCAGTAAGGGACAAAGCCTCAGAGACCAGAAGGGGCCATCTTGTGGCAGAGAAAGGAATGACAGGGTACCTCCTTCCTTGGTCTCCAGAAGAAATGTCAGTCAGTCAGAGGGTACATTCTTTCTACCCCAGCGTGCTCTGCTTGCTTTTGAGGGACAGCCAGAGACACAGAGAGACAGAGAGAGCATGCGTATGTATGTGAGAGAGAGTGTCGATTGGGGGGTCACTTCCCGATTTAAGACAGACAAGACTGTTCTCGAGTTGCTTCTGTTGAAGTAAGTCGTTTCTGTCCCTGCTTCTCTCCCCTCCGGCGTCGCCCGCTGCTGCATTGCTTCCCCTGACTAGGTCCAAGGCCATGGTACGTACTAACTGCACGGCCAGCTTCCTCTGCGTGCACGCTCACGTCCTCTCGGCCAGAAGAGAAGAGGAGAAATAATCAGGGTTGTGATTCTCTTCTATCCGGGAGAGAGTCGTGCTAGAAATAGGTGGCCACTGTGTCTCTTGTGGGTGTTGCTGGGGCGGGGGGGGGGGTGGTCCTGAAGGCAGCAGCCCTGGAGCTGTTTCAGGCCCTTCCCACTCAGCCACGCTAGCTGACACTGTCCTCAGAGGGTAAGGAGCACTGCCTGGAGCCGAGGGGAGCAGGGCCCCACCATCCACGGGGAAAACCTGCCAGTTCTCGTCCTTCTTTAGCATCTGTTAATGTGCTGGAAGACTGTGGCACATTCTGTGGCCGGGGGAGTCACGCTGCAGAATGCCTCTGGTCCTTTCACCTGCTAGCTGAGGGGGGCCCAGACTGCAGAATCCCCTGTAAACCATTGGGATGTCAGTTGCTGTCCAGGGAGCAGAGGGACCCCGTGCCGCACCCCAGCGGGGTCAGAAGGCCGGGCTTTCTTCTGGGAGCCCTGCACCCCTGCGGTGAGCAGAGGAGCAAGGCAAGGGCACAGCGGAGTACAGGCCTCCCTCACAGGGGAGTGGCGGCAAGGTGCCAGCCGCTGCCGCCCCCGGGGTTCCTGGGCACACACAGATGCCCTTGGTTATAAGGCGTTGTTTGTTTACGTGAGTACCACGTCCCGTGACAAGAACTTTAGGTATGTGCGCTAGCGAGGAGGCCGGTGAGCATCTGGCACTCCTGGGTGTGGGTGTGGGCCCACTCCAGGTGTGGCTCACAGCGCGTGCACAACCAGTCAGGCCACCTGGGGCTGCGACAGGCCAGGGCAGCTGCTCCGGCGGGTGGGTGTGGCCGGTCCCTTAGACTTGTGCTAGGAGCCTGGTGTGTTTGTCCTCTTCTCTTGCTGCCTCCTGCATGCTGTGCCCTGCTTTCTGGTCCTGGTAGTGCGGTGGAGCCAGGCCTGGGTAACGTGCTCTCTGCTGCTCTCTCCCCAGAACACGGCTCTCGATAAAGAGGGGCAGATTTTCCGCAGCAAGCACTGTCAAGACAGCAGCAAGCCAGCGAGGGAGCAGCCCCTGCCAGCCCCTCCTGCAGACCGGGGGGCCCCTTGTCCCCCAGCCACCTCTGGCTGTGATCTGGCAGGGACCTGGCGCCGCCACCGAGACTGAGCTGCGTGGCCCCGCCGGAGCTGCCCGCTGTGCCGGGAAGGCCACTGTTCACCTCCCCGCTGAAGGGCCTTTCTCTCCTGACTGCTGCTCTGACAACGTGTTGGCCTGTAGTCACTACCCGGGACCAGGACCAGGCGGCATGAGCCGGCTGCAGCAGCCCGCACGTACTCTGCCCTGTCAGTTGTGGCGACATTTGGAGTGACTGAGATCATCTGTGTTTCTAGCTCAGTAGACACTTGGCGATTTACCCAGGCTGTGCACCTTTTCCCTGGGAGTAGTGCATCCTCTTCACAGAAATGCACTGTGAAGCAGGATCATCTCACTGGGGGACCTGAGTGCTCCCTTCTCGAAGAGGACGTGGCCGGGCTGCCCCTTTGTCCTGTCAGAGGCAGCATGGCCTCCTTCCCCCGGGGCCTGGCCGCTCCTGACTTTGGGCCGTGCTCTGCCAGGCAGGAAGCAGCGGCCTCGCTGGAGCGCAGACGCGCCTCGTTTCCCGCCCTCCCTCCGTGTGTTAGGAACCACTGATGAAGTGGCCGCGGTCTTTTCCGTGGACTGTGCAGCTGAGGCACCGACAGGCTCACCCCTGCCCGCGGTCACGAGGGACGGAAAGCCAGGGCAGTGCTGCCTAGACCCAGCGGGGCCTGGGGTGCGTGGCGCCCTCGGATGGCCGTGACCAACCTCGGGAAGGCTGCTGGCAGTTTTTCCTCCCCTGCTCTTTTTACTAACGGTAACTTGTACTGTCTGACTCGCCTGTCCTCTGAACAGGTGGGCCCCGCGGTGACTCTCCTGGTTAGACTTTGTTTTCTCCAAGTGTCCCCAACCTCAATAAACTCCCCCCTTGAGAAAAGCCATGGGGCGGGCCGTTCCCGTGTGGTTGTTTTGGACGGCTCATGCGGCCTGCCCTCCCTCCCAGACCTGCAGGGGAAGAGCAGGCCACGGGTGCTTGGCTGCCGCGTGGCCAGGGCTGGGGCCCTGAGCAGAGCGGCAGAGCCGGCGGATTTCCGCAGTGGGAGCGCGTGGGGGCGGCCACCCTGTGGGCCGCGCTGCTCGCCTGTGTGGCCCGGGCGGGAGCCCGTGAGCAGCCCGCTCTCTTGGTTCGTGTGCCCAGGGACTGGGGCGGCCGAGGCTGTGCCCGGGCGCCGAGAGGTGGTCAAGGCCGGGTGCAGGGTGGGGGCAGCTGCCCGGGTCCCCGCTGACGGGCTGAGAGCGGCTGCTGGGGACCTGCTCTTGCCTGTGCGCCTGTGCGTGCCAGCGCCGGCCGCGCTGGAGCCCGGGAGCCGGGGGAGCCCAGGCTCCCCGCCAGCCGCCTGCGCGTTTCGTCCTCGCTGGGAGGAGCGGAGCAGTCAGGGCGGCCGCCGGCGCGCTCTGGGCTGCGCCTGGTGGGAGCTGGCAGCGCCGGGCAGCGCCCACCCACGTGAGCGCGAGGCCGCGGGGAACCTCCAGCCCGCAGGACCCACGAGGGACACGAGGCCGAGGCGCAGGCCCGGGGGGCCCAGCCCGGGGCAGAGGAGGCAGGTGACGCCCTGGGAGGCGGGAACCGACTCCCGCCCGGCTGCGCCCCCCCCCCCCCCCTTTGCGAAAGTGTCACCTGTGCGTCTGCTCGGTGTAGCCTGCGCCTCGGGAGACGCTGGGGAGAGAGGGACCACGGGGAAGAAGAAAGGGCTGATCGGTGTCTGGAGAATGCGGGGGCGGTTGCCACCGTGGGAACGTGGGCTGCCTCCCCCTGGGTAAGCAAAGCAGCGCCACCTTAGAAAGCTTGAAAGGAACCGGGAAGTTATTCCACCTGGCAGCTAAACACACCCGGAGAATTCTGTCTACACGCAGTCACCATCCGAAAGACCTGGGCGATACTTCCCCGCGTGTGGCGAGTCGGAGTGTGCGGTGCTTGGTCCACACGGCAGCCAGTTGGAGGCCCAACATTTCAAGCGTCTCAAAGCCACGTGGGCGAGCAGCTGGCGCTAGTTCTGGCTCCACGGATAATCCACGGCTCTTGCCATCAGTCTGGGAGAATCTTTTTTTCCATGATGTGTGACAGGCAGAAGGCCCCTTTCGTGTGAACTGAAACAGTTCAGTAGGAAGTGAGGCGCAGGGCTCGGCCACTCCTAACCTGACCGCAGACAGGAAGCACGGCAGGAAGCACGGGCCGGGAAACCCTCCTGCGTCCCCAGGAGGCAGCCTGCCTAGTCCTCGCTCAGCACACCGGGAGTGGGTGCAGCGCAGCGCTTGCTCGGAAAACAGCCAAACCCCTGGTGGGCCAGAGCTCCGGGCACACTGATGTCCCGGGACACAGAACTGTTCTGTCAGGCTGCAGACACGTTTCTTTCCCTGGATGTGACCCTCAGGTTGACAGGAACTATAGTCAGATTCTAGTAGTGGGCCGGGGACAAGGTCACCCACACCGTGAAGGGTTCAAACTCCAGAAGATGCCTGGGCGCTGGGGAGTGTCACAGGCGCACAGCGCACTAAGTTGTTTGGCCCTCCTTGAATGTTGCATATCCAAGGAGAAGAAAAAGTGTCTGGAGCCGCTCATCTCTGCGCCTTCATGGCCGCCCCACAGGTCTGACCCCAGGCAAGGCTCAGGATGTCTTCATGACCTTAGCTCACTTTATGGAGTGACAGGGCAAGCCTGACAACGCCGGTCAGTGTGGAGGCTGAAGCTGAAGAGCTGCCGCCATGTCCTGCGGGTCTGAGCAAACACCAGCCCTGTCCAGATCCCCCAAAAGCTTAGTTTCAGGCCTCTGATCATGGGGACTCCAAGTGGCTTCCAGTGTGTCTTTCCTGACTGGAGAGTCTTAGGGGATGTGGCCTCAGGGAAGCCAAAACGCCGTTTCCTTCAAGAGCCTGCTGTGCTGTGTTTGAGCGGTTTCTGTTTCCCATTTGTGGTCCCAGTGAACAGGCTGGGAGGTGACGCACCTACAGGTGGCCCCTGCTTCCGCCCAGGAGCCTACACGTCGCCTGGGCAGCAAAGCAAGACCTGTCGGGGGTAAGCTTAGCTTTGGGTTTGCTTGGTTGCGTTTTCCTGTTTGAGACAAGGTTTCTCTGTGTAGTCCTGGCTATCCTGGAACTGACCCAGTCGACGAGGCTGGCCTCGAACTCAGAGATCCTGCCTGCCTCTGCCTCCTGAGTGCTGGGATTAAAGGCGTGTGCTACCATGAATGGCTAGCTTTTGAGTTTTTAAGGATCTCATGTTTACAAAGAACCAAGAATAATGCATGGACTGGATTTTTGAAATAATTCTTTCATCACTGAAACCAGGTCTCACTATTTACAGCTCAGGTTGGCCTCAAACCCAATATTCTCCTGCTTTAGTGTCCCCAAACCTGGGACTACAGAAATCTGTCAGCATGCGCGGCTTCACAGTGGTCTAAAAAGTACTTCTGAAGAGGTTTCTTCTGCTCTGTCAGAACTTTAAAAAAGTTGCTTTGCTTTGCTGTTTGATCTGCCACTTAAGTGATCTTTCTGACAGCGGGATGTTTTAACATTTTAGCTCCTGTGTTACTTGCAACTATAATTTGGGAAGCCCCAGGATTAGGTGTTTCCTCTCACTGGGGTAGCGCAGGAATGACCAGTCAGAAGCACGGTTGTGCTTGGTCATTTGTGAGTTCATGCAGAGTCTGAGGTTTGGCCCTTTGACTGGAGTCACGTGGCGAGGCTGTGGCGAGGGTGCTGCCCGCCTGGCATGCTCTGGCAGGCTCTCCTGTCAGCTGCTGCCGCTGGAATCTCCGGGCATCACCGGCCTGCTCTGTCCTTCTCCGTGCAGGGCTGGCTGATGCGGGTACAAGTTCCCGGTGAGGCTCGAGGGGCAGCGCCCACGGTGTCTGCCTGCGGGTGGGTGTGGTCACGAGTGCAGGCCTCAGGTCCTCTGGATCTGGAGTTACAGGCGGCCTAGGGTGACCTAGGGTGCCGGGGACCACGCTCAGGCTCGTGGAGGAGCACTCAGCAGCCCCGCCCTGCAGCTCTGACACCTCTGCTGGCCGAGGAGTGGGTGGAGCCTGAGTCCTGAGCCCGCCTGCTGCCGCCCTGGGAGCGCAGGAGGGGCGGCAGGCTTGCGTGGCCGGCCACCCCGCTCCCCCGAGGCGTGCCCGGGCTCACCTGTGTCTTCCCTGCTGCAGAGCTGGTGTGCCGTCTGATCCCTCGGCAAAGCCGTCCTTGTTTGAGGATTTGGTATGTTCTGGCTTTTGATGCTCATAGAGAGCTGCCCGGGAACCTGCACTATCACGTGTCACATAGTCTTGTTTTCTGCTTCTCAGCCCTCTTTCTCGCCAGAGACCTATCATAACTGAAAAACCATGAAGACTGAGGGGCCGTGAGAACTGGCAAGCAAGGAAGGGAACCCTTAGTTTGCGGCGGTGGGTGCTCGTAACGCCAGGCGCACTGCCCGGCGCAGAGCTGGGCCGCGGGGGGCTCCTGCTGGTGCGCCCAGGCCCAGCCCCCGCTGCTGCTGCCCCACCAGCTGGGTTCTGTTTATCTGGCGTGATGGTGGGGTTTTTTGCTTCTTTTAGTGAAAATAGTTAAGTTGGGTAAGGTGAGCAATGAGTCAAACCGAGGAAACACTGTGCTCACAGATTCTGCCACTAAGGGAGCCCTTGGTTGAGGCTAGGCAGCCCCGTGTGTGCCCCGTGTGTGCGTGCTGTAGGAGCTGGACAGAGGCGATGGCAGGCACTGTCTTCACAGCTCTGGGAGGCCTGTGTGCCGCTGCTTTCTGTCCACCCTTTATTTCCCAAGTGAAACCTGCCTGTTAGCCTGCAACTCATAAGGCCTGCATTTCCGCTCCCACGTTTTGCTGTTCATGGTTTTTCTTAATGGTTTGTGAAGTGTTGGCGAGTCCTAGTTGTCCTTATTTGGTCGTATGTAGAAGTCGCAGCGGTGGCGAGGAGGAGATTTGGCAAGAGAAAGCATTCCTGTGGGGCTCTGTCGGGCTCTCAGTGTGGCACTGTCTGAGTGAATAGTTATCCATGTCTAAAATGTTTGGGTGAAAAGACATTTCCAACAACTTGCTGGAACAAGTTTCATTTTATCTGTTTTTCTATCAAACTGGATATTTCGTTCTACATCCTGGGCTAGAGAGCATCTGAGTGGGGAGGTTCAGACGAGCTGCACAGGAAGCAAAGACGGTCAGCTTCAACTCGGAATTCACAACATACAAAGAATTTATTTATGTAATACAGATCTTTCCTCAAATATTTTCACAGAATTTCATACAGCAATCTACTAGAAAAAGGTAGAGTTATATGACACCAAAATAACACTCTTAGTACAAACTGCTGATCAGAAAGAAGGCAGAGGCAGTGTCCTCACACCCGGGGAAGGTAGGCCCTGTTCAGCACAGTACCCGCACCTTCTGATCTCCAGCGGGGGGGGGGGGGGGGGGGGCTCCTCACAGGGCACTGGTGACTCGGGCAGGCTTTGGTTCTTATTATTCTTAAACAAGGATTGTGAGCCCAAGAGTGTTTCCATCATTTCACCTTGTGCCATAAGGATGACAGATCAGGAAAAGTGGTGAACATTTGTGATTGTTATAACTTAGATCTTTGTTGTTTAACACACACTAAAATAAAATAGCCTTCCCCAAACCATAATTTTCTAGGGCTAACACATGCTTACAGAAGAGGAATACAGAAATAATCCATTGAGATGTTTTAAATCACACGTCATAATTTAAACGTTACTATTAAAATCCTGGAAATGTCAGCACTGAAGAAAGCACAATTGTCTAGAAAAATACAGGACCCAGTACAGAATAAAATCCCGTCCCGATGCTAGAACCATTTCCCTATTGCTAAAATCTTATTTCTCAAGATTACAAGGAAGTGGGAAATGGTTTTACACAACAAAGCAAGAACTAGTGGGAATATTGGCTCCACCGTTTGTATCCATAATTGGTGAAAATAGACTTTTCATCATGACTAAAAATATAGATTTTTTTAAACTACAGAAACCAGCAGCCAGTTCTCTGCTTTGCTGCTCCCCACCCCCAAGTGTCAAGCAAAGTCTACAAAAATAGCAATTAACTTTAAAAAATACTTTGCTTGTTCAAGCAAATTTAAGTTACATTCAGGTGTGATCGCTGTTGCCACAGAATGATGTCCGGAGTCCTTCCTAGCTCAGCCTGGAACAGGACCAGGGCGTGGCTGTCACCATCAGTAGCGGGTTTGGTACTCATGATGCCAGCGGTTGAAGTCGTTGTAAAACAGGACGATGCTTCCCGACGCCATGCCGGCAATGACGCACCTGAGGGGTGGAGAAGGGGTTAGGGGCTGTGCTTTCTGCTGCCCGCGGCAGCTGCGGCTCACCCTTGGCAGCTCAAGTACAGACCCAAGTAAGCTCAGCGCATTGGTTTGACACCACAGAGCGTCCATAGTCTGTGAGGGGGCGGTGCTGTGGAGAGTGCCGGCCGTCCCTGAACTGAGCGAAGTCACTGCCACGGTGGGGGCCTTGGGAAACGACGCTTCTAAGGCATCGGAGTCGGAAGAAAAACCCACAAAGCAGCTGCCGCTGGAGGGGCACAGTGACGAGGGGAGGAGGGTGCTGTTTGTTACTGGGGAACCTACACTCTAGGGACCTGGCCCTTGTAGTGACCCGACAGTCATTAGCGACAGGAGCTGCTGGCTCTCCTGAGAAGGCAAGGCAGGGACAGATGAAGAAGAGCCAGAGCTCTGCTACATGAGCTTTCCCTGCATGGCTTGGCTAGGACCAGCTCCGAGGAAGCGGCAGGCCGTGCCTTCCTGTACTTACCTGAACCTGGAAACTGAAATGTATAACCGCAGAAGGCCAACACAGACAGGGCATGAAGAGCTTCCATACGTGGAACAGAAGGCCAGGCCTTCCCCAGCCAGTCACTTACATGTAGAGAGAGGAAACCTGGCCACGTGGGTTGGAGGAAATAACCAAAGTCTATGTGGTATCCAGGAGATTCATTTTAGAACAAAAGTGGATTGAACAAATGAGAAACAAGAATTCTGGGTAAGCGGTAATAAGAGAACATAGGTGGCCATGGCGTCAGAAGCCCCAGAACAACACGGAGCAAACACTCCCAGGAGAGGCCATCCGTGGCTCTCCAGTCGGCTCGAGGCTTTCACATGTAGCATAACCTGACAGAAGGGTAATCCTCAAGCCACACAGACTGAAAACCACACCAACAGGGGCAGAATACACTTTTGTTTCGCCAGTGCATGTGCTGGTTTAAGTGAAATGGCCCCCATACGCTCATGGGAGGTGGGTGGCCGTTTGGAGGAAGTATGTCACCAGTGGTTGGCTTTGAGGTCTCGGGAGCTCAGGCAGGCCCAGCGGCAAACCCTTCTGCACAACAGTCAGCTCCCTCCAGCACCGAGGCTGCTGCTCGCGGCAGCGCTTCCTGCCATGATGACAATGGACTGGACCTCTAACTGGAAGCCAGGCTCAGGGGAATGCCCTGTGAGAGAACTTCTGTGGCCACCGTCTCTCTTCACGGTGGAACAATCTCTGAGATGAATCCTGTCAAGTTCTAATGATTTAATGTGAGATCATGGGAAGGGTCTGTGGTCTTGACAGAAAGTCAGTGACGATAGAAACTGGAAAATAAGCATGTACCAACAGTAACGGTATCTGATGCCAAGGGACCACACTAACAGGCTACGGCAGGCAGAGAGGAGAGGAAATGTGTAAAAACATTACAAAAGAAACAGACACGATCTTAATAACAGAAAAGCGCGACCTCAACCCAAAGCTAGGGCACTGTAAGAAAATAGGAAATAAGAACAGAAGTAGGGCTGCTGGGAAGAGCTGCAGAATGATACAACTCAAGCTAAAGAAGACGTCATGAGAGACCATTAAAGACTGCACCCCGCAAATTTAGTATCCCACATGAGGTGGACACAGGTCCCTGGTAAGGGACGGTAGGCCATGTGGTGTGGAAATCCTACCGTGAGTTTAAAGGAAATCGTTACTTTTTTCTCCAAGTTCTTCTAAAAGAATAAGTAGGAAGAAACACTTGCAGTGTTTACCATTTTCCTGATACCAAAGCCAAAGAGACAACATTAGAGACCAACATTACTGCCTTGAATGGATACTCGTGCCAACTGCCAGCAAACCAAATCCGTTAGTGTCTACAAGGATTAGATACCATGACTATGAGGTTTGGAATGTAAGGATAATTCAAGGAGTAAAATACACTAATAGACTAAAACAACATGTATATCTCAACTGACAAAATTCAGTAGTTTTCAAAAAGGGAATATAAATGAATGACTTTAAGCAAGAGCAATAATGAACACCCACAGCTGACAAGCCTACAAGTGGTGGAAAGATGGATTTCTACACCATCAGAACAAAGCAAAGCTGTCCACTCAACTGCCTTTATTCAATCAGTTAAAATGCTTGATGTCCCAACAGAAGTAAGAAGAAAACGGGGGGGGGGGGCATTTAAATTGAAAAGATAAGATGACGTCACAAGGGACATGGTCTCTCATGGAGAGAGTCAAAGGACTCCACAGAAAACTTAGGAAAGTTGTGGGTATACAAAACCAGTTGCTTTTTCTTTAAAGACAGGATCTCACTGTAGCCCAGGCCGCCCTGAACCTGTCCTCTCAGCCTGCAGCGAGCTGGGAGAACGCGTGCGTGCGTGCGTGCGTGCGTGCGTGCGTGCGTGCGTGTGTGAGCGCGGAATGCCCTGTGGCACTTCTGCACGCTAGCAGTCCAAAAGAGGACGTCGGGGCAATTACCGCTTGCAGTAGCCCTAGAAAGGGCGACGAACTGAAGAGCATGAACCGCTGCCGGAAGACGCGACCGTGCACGCGGACTGCGGAATGCCAAAGCCCCAAAGCGCCAGCCAGCAGGCTGCCGCAGTCCTCTCAAAACGAGGCCTGCCGTGCAGAACTCACCTCAAAACTGATACGGAACCTGGAAAAAAGTCCAGGAACGAGGCAGGAATGTACCCCGCCAACTCTGCTTTACAGAACCCCGCTGAGCGAAGACCACGGGGTCCTGAAGCCAGCGAGAGCCCTTCACACCCGCAGAGAGAAGGGCCTGCACTGCGGCTGCAATGTGAACCTGCTCAGGGCCTCAGGGCATTAGTGAGGGGCACTGCACGGCCGCCAACCCCACCCTGGCCCAGACCCAGAGGGACTGTAAGGAGGGAAAAATGAACATTTGTACAAGCTCTTCACACCAGAGCAAACAAGCCAAGGTCCCTGTAGACAGATGGGCAGACAAGGACAACACGTCGAGAACCACCAGTCCACCCAGGAAAAGCCCGGATTCTGCCACATGGCAACAGGGAACCTTGAAAAACACTGGGCCTGGAACAAGCCAGTATAGAAAGAGCCTGTATGTTTCCTTGTGAGGAGGAGCCTGGGCAGGGGTGGGGCGGGATGCTGCAGAGGGACCCGGTGGCTTTGCCCATGGGGGATGTCGGGCATGCTCAGCCGGTCAGGGGTGGCTCAGTCTGGAAGTCTGACGCACCATAACAAGTGTCACCATAACAAGAATCACAAGTTAAGCGAAATGGCTAGATTATAAGTGTAAGTTTCTCTCCTCTCTGCAGCTGGGGAGGGTTGAGGACATTACAGATCTCCCCAGAGGCAGCCAAGACCTAGCTGCCGCCCTTAGGAACCTCACGAAAGGCAGACAAAGCTGGGGCTGGAGCAGGCAGGCTGAGCCAAGTGCAGGCGCGGAGCTCGGACCGGCTCTGACCCAGCCGTCGGGAAGGGCCGGCGCCAGCAGCTGCCCGGGAGCCCGGAGCACCCGCTCGGTGGCGGCGCCAAGCTGTCTGTGCTCCAGGCCCGCTTATCCGGGAGAACCTGTGCTCTGCAGCGTGCTCGTGTGGTCGTCGCGGCCGAACTGTGCAGGGGACCCCAGCGCCCCGCCAGCCTGGTCCCCGAGGGCGAGCCCCGCCGTCTCCGGCCCGGCTCTCCTTACCTCTGGTCGAAGGACAGGGCCATGGCGCGGATGCCGGCGTCACAGCCGGGGTAGGCGAAGAGCTGCTGGAGGTCGGACGCCTGGCGCACTATCACCACCCCATGGTCTCCTCCCGTGAGCAGGTACTGCCCGTCTCGGCTCAGCTGCATGGCCTGAGGGACAGCGGCGGTCAGTGGGGACATGAGGGGGGGCTGCGGGGGGGCAATGCCACGAGCTCGGTTCTGTAAGTACTCCTACAGGGCACTTCTATAAGTTCTTCTATAGGGCATCCGAGGGTGCGGCCCGCCTGGCAGCACTCCATCCTGTAGGACGGGCACCTTCCCGGGCGCCTCATGTCGGGTTAGCTCTGGGCTGTAGCTAGTCTCTTGCCCCCTTGATAGATAGGCTCGGCTCATGACCTGCGGATTCTGTAAGGTCCCCCTCCTCCCTAAAGCCTGAGGGCAGCCTGCAGACTGCTTGTTTCTTCGTGTGGTCTCGTGCAGCTGAGGGTGGCCCTGAACTCTTTACAGCTGAGGGTGGTCTTGAACTCGTGATCCTCCTGTCTCCAAGTCCTGGGTGCTGAGACTCTGCAAGCACCAGCACCCCCAGGCCCCTGGGCACACCTACAGGCGTGCTGTCAGCCGAGCTATAGCTGCAGCTACATTATTACGTTGTTTTTAATTGCTGAGGAAAAATTGCAGTGTTTCACGAACATGATGCTTTTTAGTATAAATGCTCATAAATAAGGTTTTGCGGGGTTCAGGGTGCCCTCTGCCTACGGCACGTTCAGAGTAGCTGAACAAAGTGTGGTGTCCTCCAAGCACATTACAGAAAGCGCGCACCCTGACAGAGTGCCGCTCTGCTGCCACAGCCTCCTGTGCCCACCGCCAGCTGCTCCTCACTCTCTGTCCAAGAGCTGGTGGCCTGAGGCTCCAGCAGCCCTGCCTACCTGGGCACAGTGGGCGTGGCCACGCGGACGCCAGCCCCTGAACAAACTCCGCCCTGCTTTTGCACCGGGACCTTTAGCATCGCCGAAAATCTCTACTCTCTGACACGTTTTTAACTAGAGAATAGGGCTGTTTGCTACTGCTCAGTTCCCACTGATGCCAACTGTCACTCGTCCACGGAACACAGCGTGTTCCCGAGACCACAAACACATCTAAGAAAGTGAAACAGCTGTGGTGCCCCTTCCATGTCACCAAGTCTCATTAAGAGTTCTCAGTGTGAAAAAGTCAGTCCTGAGCCACTCACCTCACAACCAGCCGTCTCGGGTCTGGGACTTGCAGTGACAGCCAGAGCAGCGGCTACCGGAGACTGCCCTGGCTTCAGGGCTGATGTCCAGGGCTGCACACTGCTTTCTGCTCAGTCTATCGAGGCCCAGCGCCCTCAGTGCCTTGTTAGTAAGAGTCTACTGAGATCACACCATCCTCAGAACCTGCTGGGCCTGGCGCCTCCGCACAGGGACCCGTCACCCTGCCCTGCACGAAGCCGGCCCTCCTGCGCTGCGCCCTCCGGTGCAGCCTGCTCTCTGGCTCTCACCCCAGGCCCTTCTGATGTGGCTTGGCTCTGGATCCCAAGTGCCTGGAGGGTGCTGGGGCTGCGCTGTGCCCGGGGACCCTGGCATGCCACGGCAGCCTCTGGGAACGCCATGCTGAAACAGCCCCGGAAAAAGGAGGGAGCTCTCTTGGGAACATGGCGAGCGGGCTACTGGGATGCACGCAGCCCTGCGGCTCGGGATGGGCTGCCCGTCTCGACCTAGGCTGTTCACTGCACCATCGACACTGTGCGGCCGACGTGTGGGGACCGCTGTTACCCAATACGGCACTGGCACAGGCAGGGGGACCCTGCTTAGTGCGCACGTTGCCAGGCTGCCAGGTATCTCAAAGATGTGACAGTTTGGGTCTGGCTGGTGACTAAGTCCTTTCAGCTCTGTGCGGCCTGGGTCCCCAGCCTGCAGCTTCCTGGCTTGCCTGCTAACGCAGTGAGCTGGGGAAGTGCCAGTCTCTGGAGCCTGGGACAGAGCGGGCGCCTGCCAGGCTAACTCGCTTTAATCATGTGGCTGCCATTTACAGGTTAGCGTGATAAAGTGCGGCAGTCTGGGGAAAAGCAACCATTGTTTAGGCCTCAAATCCAGCAGGGAGTTTCACAGGGAAAGCACAATGGCTTCGGGGTACCGGGGAGAGACCTGGGCATGTGAACAAGCCACAAGAGCCCCCTGCCGCTGCCTCGGGCCCTTCCCAGAGCCTCTGGTCTGACTGGAACACCACAGAAGCTGTTCTAGCCAGAACAGCTTCAGATGATTTTACAGATTTATTAGTGTAGCTGACAACATAATCACAGCTCAAAGTGACAGATTATCAACATTACTGTTGTAAAGGAAGGAGAAGCCTCAGATGTGTGCTTGGCTTAAATGGCGGATTGTGGGAAATAAGGGAGAAATAAAAGCAGAGTGAGTTCGCCTGCGCACAGGCGTCTGGGCTAGAGGTACCTGTCGGACAAGCAGCGCGCGAGAGGAGAAGCGGCCTCTGGACTGAGGGACTGGAGCCTCAGAGCGCCCCAGGCTTTGGGCCAGTGCTGCCTTTGTGCACAGCTGACGTTGTGTCGAGTGTGGCCGCGTGGGGGAGCGCGGGAGGCGTCAGAGGCGCAGAAGCCGCTGGGCTTCCCTCTGACTGTGACTGTGCCGCCCCCTAAACATCCCCCTGGGATGTGGGTCACACTCACCTCCAGTCCCATTTTAGAAACTACAGGGAGAGGCTGGAGGTGGGAAGGAAGGGACCTTAAAGATCATCCCCAAAGAAGCTCCTGGCTCTGTGGGGCTGGCCTGAGAAGTACGGCAGGCTCCAGGCTGCCCACTAGCTGAACTGAACGCTGCTTACAGACAGAGGGGAAGTGGCTCAGGTAAGCTACACCCAGCTGTCCAGCACGTCAGGGCAGACGCCAGCAGCTGACCCCGGGAATGAACAATTCATTCTTTGGTGCCACCCTTCAGGTGGGAAGAGGGATCGCGTTCAGCTTTGGTGCACAGTGAGTCTTGGGGACAAAGGCAGTTAGGCAGCACTGAGAAGCATCGTGGGCAGCCTGCTGTTGGCCTCGGTGGGTGCTCTCTGCACAAGGCTACTGGGAAGGCAGCGGCCTTCACCAAGGTACTCTGGGCTTCTCCGTGCTGCCTAGCGGGAAAGAGGCCCCGGCAGTTTCTTCCCTGAGCTCTGACCCCTGACCAGGAAAACTGACAGTCTGCGGAGCCTGCGGCACTCACCCGTATGTGGTCGTCTGTCTCAGCGATGGCCTGCAGCTTCCCATTCACACTGAAGGTGCAGAAGCAGCCGTTTTCATAGAAGATGACACAATGGCCCTCTCTCGATGCTTGGATGAGTTTTGGTCTCAGGCAGTTTTCAGGGCCCTCCAAAGCCCTTAGCAAGTCTCCATTCATGGAGTGTATGAGACATGGTCCTTCTGAGAAAAGGAACAAGAGGCAACATTTTGTGACGACTCGGACAGGGTCATGCAGGCCATCGTTGTGTGAGCGTGAGGCCCAGGGTTCAAGCCCTACTATCGGGGATGAAGGCCTCTAGGGCGATCAGCTGGCTGCACAGCCATGGTCCAGCTGTTCAGAGGCCCACATCTGTCTATCTGTTTTCTGAAACTGCAAAATCCTGCCCTGTGCCTTACATTTGCCAGCTCTCCTTTTCCACTGGGAGGCCTGAGAAGCCAAGTCACACACGCCCACTCCTCCTCAGGGGCAGGGGTTACTTTAAAAATCCACCATGCCTGAGCAGAAGATGCTAGAACTCCAAAAGGAAGACAATTTTGAGGGCCAACGCAGGCACACGGGGACCCTCCCCGGACAGTGCTGGCTTCCCTCCCGCTGCTCACACCTTCCTTTCTGAATCGAAGGCCCTGGTAACACCTAGCCTCCAAGTCCACACAGATCCCCGTCACTGTGAAACTGAGTGAGCTTACTCCCCGACATCCCTAGAGCACTCCAGACTGAGAACCCCGAGGACAGGAACTGCTGGACCCCCGCCCCCACCACAAGTACACCCGAGCTGCCATTTCTACTGGAGATTCACCACATGCAAGGTTAAGGAGGCAAAAAGTGTGAGTGTTGAGAGATGGGGAGGGTGCTGCCCGCATGGCTGCTTTTGTTAGGCCACCAAGCGGTAAAATGTCTTCCTGTTCTCCCACATAACTGTCACAGGCACGTGTTTTGTTTTACACAGTTCCGGCACACATGAACTTCAGTTACAAGGCCCTAAACAGCACCAGCTCCACAACAGCACACTTCACAGCTAGCTTTCCAGTCTAATCGCGGCCGAGCACTCGGAGGCCCCCAGTCACAGCATTCAAGGCACACGAGTGGCCAGGATCTGTTGTCCGGGTCACACCCAGACAGCAAGCAGCAGCTTTGTTGTCTCCTTGATTCATGGTGATGAGCCACGTGGCATTTCCTAACCGAAGACAACCAGAACAGGGTATTGGTCCATAGCGCTGAACTTCCCTAAAGCAGCTCGGATGAATGGAGTTGTGTGTGGACAGCGCAGAGTCAGCCTGGGTGCTGCCAAAGCTCCCGACAGGCAGCCAGGACGGGAGCAGCCCAGGCAGAAGAGGATGGCGGTACCGCAGGCACAGAAAGCATGCCTAAGCTCAGACACGCAAGCGGCACACTCTTCACTGTCCTGAGACCTGTCACAGCGACGCGGCACTGAACAGCCGAGTTTGTTTTTCGCTTTTAGTTTGTTTGGTTTTGAGACAAGGTCTCAAAATGCAGTCCTGGCTGTCTGGCCATGTGTAGGCCATGCTGGCTTTGAACTCGCAGAGATCCCTCTTGCTTCCACAGTGTGTGCTTTGCCTGGCTGTTTTAGTGTTTTGACAAAAACTTCGGCTGTGGCAGAATGATAAAAAAAATTCCCGCTGAGGCAGTGTCTCAGATAATTCTGTGTGATATCTATTTGCATGGCCTTTTACTTTGCAAAAAGGATGGTCTAGAATTAGCAGTTGATTTTAAGGTTTAATGTGGATTAGGTAATTTGAGAAATCACATACTTTTTCACTGCTTTGACCAACTCTACTTTTCAAAGCAAAACTTTAAATATTCATTCTGCCTGGTTAGCTTACTGCCATAGTTCAAGCCACAGACATGGAGACTCAGATACTCTGCTTCTGAGCTTAAAGCACACATGGTTAGGAGTCCTGGGTGCTCAGTCCTCAGCAGAGAGAGATGGATAGAATATTAAGGTAGAGGGAGACACCAAGCTGCAGCAGCTGCTCTGCTGGCAGACCCTCGTTTGCTGCCCATGACCTTGGAAGGAGCACTGGGTACATCTGAACTAAGTGCAGGACAGTTGAGCAGCTGACGCACTAACAAACCAGCTGGAGGCCTTTCCACCCCAGTGTCTGTCACTCGAGGCCGGCCCAGCTTGGATCCCTGCAAGCCAAGCGGGGTGGGGGCTGTGGAGCTGGCTGAGCAGGGCAAGGGCCTTGCTGCTGCTGCTGCTTGCTGCTGCTGCTGCTGCTGCTGCTGCTCGGTTCAAGCCCCAGGACCCACATGGGGGGAGAAAGAACAATTCTCACACTTCATCTGCCCGCCACACATGCCAAGGCATGAAATCAGGCCCACACACTAAATAAACTCTGGGTCAGGATTTCCATTCGGCCTGCTGGAGGTCAGAGGAATAGCCAGACAAAAGTGCCGCTGCTGTGTGCACCTTAAGTCCTTGGGAGCGGGGAGCTGAACCCTGGCTTGGTCCTGACGGGAATGCTTAGTCTCTGTCCCGGCTGTGTGTGGACTGAGCCCCCCGAGCGTGTTTCTCCTGAAGAAGGTGACTTCTAACTGTGTCTACTTTTAACTAACCCGGAGTGACCGCCGTAACAGACGGCGGCTTTGGAGAACAGGAGCCAGCTTCGTCTCTGTTCACACGAACACGTGACAGGAGAAGCGGACACCGAGGAAACGGCAGCTTTACCTTGAGAGCCGCTCAACACCAGGCCCAGCTCAGCACACACGGCAGCGCAGGTGACCTCATAGTCGTGGCCCGTGAGGATGGCGCGGGGAGTGGTGGTTTCACCTTTAACAAGGACAAAGACAGACAATTACAAGCCAGTCCCAGGCACAACGACGAAATAACTCGCTGTCTGTTTTCCTCTGTGCTGACGCTGCAGAGTTCTCAGTGTGCACAACATTTATTTTAGGGCTAAACTTTGCCACAGTCTGATTTTACAGTCCACGTCTCTCTCAATTCAAGAACCCTTCTGTGACTATCTAGCAGCAACAGCTTAGAGCTCAAAGCTAAAAACGGTAAAAACTGCATCCTACACTTTTCTCACATAGAGAATGAGACTTTCAAGTAGATGGGCGGTTCTAAAATTAGGGTCTTGGTTACAACGAACCCACAAAAACCTCACATGGTTAGATGAAGGCAACAACTCAGACGCTTAGCCAGCGCACACTCTCCGCATCTCAGGGGATTGCTACTCCGTCAGAACGGGCACTCTGAAGCCCGGAGCTCTGCTCAGGGCTCTGCATTTGCACTTTGCAATGGATGCTGCAGTTCTATGGACCTAGCCACAGTGCTTTCCTCCAAGCACATGGGAAGAGCTGAAATAATTTGTTCCCAGTTCTGATCTAAGCTCGTGCAACTTGAAATTCTCTCCAAAATTATTACAATAAATGATCAAAACTAAATAAAATAAATTTTCTTTTATAAAATAAGAACCAGGCTTAATTTTCATTTCAAAGACGGGTGTCTCCTCTTCCTCAGTGGATGACTGTAACTGGCCTAGTAAAACAACCTGAAGTGAGATTCCTGGCTCCAAGCAGCTTTTCTCCAGAACGCCTAACATCTTAGTCTTTTCTGGTGTGTAATTCTCTGAGTACCCGCTCGAATTCCAGCCGACCAGTGGAGCCCTGGGTATCTCTCCTGATGGTCTGGAGGAACAGTTTGGGGGGAGAGGGGGAATAAGGGGGCCTTATAATAAAGGAGAGAAGAGAGAATTTGCCCTGCTTCTGTGTCATGAAGGAAAAGCTGGCCACAGCTCGGACAAGTGACACTATTACAGGCTTCAGCTGTGACTTAACTGGTGCCACAAGGACACAGAGGCCTCTGTACTTAGCCAGAAAGGCCCAGTTTAAAACTAGACTCCACCCAGTGAAGTGGGCACGCCTGTAATCCCGGCACTCAGGAGGCAGAGGCAGGCGGAACTCTGTGTGTTCAAGGCCAGACTGGTCTACAAAGTGAGTCCAGGACAGCCAAGGCCACACAGAGAAACCCTGTCTTGAAAAACCAAACCAAACCAAACCAAATAAAACAAAACAAAACAAACTAAAGTCACCCTCTACATTTAGTGTGTAAAAATAAAGCCTTTGCAAATAACTAACGGGAAGGGTCCTGTAGGCATTTTTTTTTTTTTTAAGGATTTATTTCTTTATTATGTCTACGCTTTGCCTGCGTGCCAGAAGAGGGCATTAGATCTCATTATAGATGGTTGTGAACCGCCATGTGGTCACTGGGAATTGAACTCAGGACCTCTGGAAGAGCAGCCAGTGCTCCTAACCCCCGAGGCATCTCTCTAGCCCTTGTCAGCATTCTTAACTCCTCTGTTGTGAACTGGTTTCATGGCACAGCTGAGAACTGATGCAAATACGCCCAGAGAGTAGCTCACTGTGAGCAGCATTAGGAAACAACAGTCTGACACCGGCTGTCCTTAGAGCCGCCCCTCGCTCCTAGGAAAGAGCCCCACTAAGTCAGAGAATCCGCCAGACACTGTGGCCTCAAGGCCCCAGCTGCTCTAGCCTCTAACGCAGGGGCTTTCAGGGTCAATGAGCTTGTCCAACATTTTTGCCAACTATGTTCACGTGCCTGAAACAGGCTTCACTGAAAAGATACAGGACTCCTAAAAAGGCGAGAGAAGGCTCTGCTCATAAGAAAAGAGCTTGCTTCTCGAGTCCTCCCTGGGGCCAGCAGATAGTCAAGGCATGGCTGCGTCACCAGGGCATCTCTTGAGGCTTTGGTGATGATCAGAAATTCTGAGTGAGACTTTAGTCCACAAGGACTGTGTGTTAGCCTAGTGTACTCCAGGCCCCAGCTGCCAGGCTAGTCCATATCCCTAGAGCAGGAAAGGAGACATTAGGTGATGGCCCAAGTCCCCGGTTCACCCAGGGACAGGTGAACCGGGGACTTGGTTTCGTCTGAATTCAGGTTTGGAACATACAGGAGAAACATACCTGACAGAATATCCACTTGCTATTTTGCAAACCAAAAAGGAATTTCTCATAGATCATCTTTTTCTCCTTAAGTCCATAAATTTGGGAGTGGGGTTCAAAGAGGCAGACAATACAAGCCCATGTGAAGGACTTGATTTTGTATTACAAATCGTGAGATTTCCAAGTAAATATTCTAGGTTAGAAAGTTAATGTTCGCCACCACTCAGGGCCCTCTCATCCCACCCCTTGCCAGTCCCCAAATTCCACAAACACAGCATATAATGTTATTCTTGAAATCACTCACTAATTTTCTCTATTGGCGACGGTCTTTTAAATGAACCATTAAGATCGGTACCATCTAAGGGATCCATTGTCAGTGTGACTGTTCCTTCCTCGTTTCCATAAATTACAAGTGATTAAATGGTGGTGAGACTTGTGTTTTACCTTGAATACTCTTTCCTGAGTGGAAAGTGAAGGTCTGAGGGAAAATCAATGAAAAATGAAAGCAATGTACATATCGGCCAAAATAAACAAAGGACAGATGGGTCATGGAGGGGCCAGATAGGTATCTTTAGGTAGCCATGCCAGTGCTTTTTTTTTGTCGTCTGGATTTAGGAATATTTTCTCAGGAGCTTAATGGAGGGAGAAAGGCGGCTGATCTCAACTAATTTCTTTTTTTAATGTAAGCGTTGAACTCTGAAGTCAGAAGGTAAAGAACCTCAGAAAACGGGTTACGTTGTAAACATTCTTATTTGCAAACACAATTCACTCGTTTGTTCCGCTTACAAAACACTAGCTTCCATGAATGCAAAATATACCAAGCCATTTTTCATGACACGAGTCAGAAGATCGGTGTGCAGAGCAACTCCAGGAGGGAGAAGTCTTTCCTTTCCTTGGCCTGGCTCTAACCAAAGGACTGTTTAGCACTGGGCTTTGTCGGCAAAGTGTTTCCTAGTCCAGGAAACAGATTAGACAGTTCAGGAAACACGAGGGGGCGGCGGGCCTGAGAACACCAGCTCAAGTAACAACAAATTAAAAGCGTAAGGCTAGAGCCATAGCCAGGTGCTTCTCAGGAGCTACAGTTATGGTAAGAAATGACAACACAATAAAAATCCAACCATGCTCAACCTGCCTAACGTATAGAAACAAATGCTTAAGGCTGCTGACTCCCAAATCTACAACACAGAGGAAGAAAAGCCACTTCTGGCTCACTGACCTGAAAGTCCAGGCAGAGTGTCTTCACGCTTTTTCCTTATCAAAAAGTGTGTTCAAAATAAAAACCAGTTGGATTTTTATAAGTCCCAATAAACCAAGGGCTTTAAATATTAACATTTCACTATTACTGGTACAATTCTATGATAGGGAATTTAAACCAAACAAACACAGACTGCTTGAGCTCAGTGTACATTTTGGGAATCACTTGGAAATTAAGATTAAAGGCAGAGGGGATGAGAGCCAGAATACTGGTCTCTATGGCCCATGGCAATGACCATTTCTCTGTAGCAACACGGGGCTAGATCATCCTCTGTGTTGCAGAAGAGCCAGTGACATTATCGGAAAGAGAAGATAGACCCCACCCCACCTCTGTGTGAAAAGCCAAGCGCAGCCCTCTGGGCTCAGAGCTGCCGCTCCTGCCTCCCTGTCAGCTCAAGCCAGTGTGGCTCAGGGGTCATGAGTACAAAGAAGATGATTCTGCGCACATATTCCATTTCTGACTCTAAAGACATCACCAACCTCACCTGAAGAGGGGGGCAGAAAGGCTTCCGGAAGAAACCAGGCTAATTCTTCTGATAAAACCTCCATTGTTAACAGATGCTGACAGTCTGTGCCTCCTTTCTCTGAGAGGGCAGGACCTAGGATCCACCAAAGCCAGACCAGAGAGCACAGCACATTCCTCTAAACCCTTTAAAGTCTTACTGTGCGAAAATCGTCATGGCTTTCAGTAATGCTGGGAGAAAAATTTATCTTGTTGGTAGTTTAAGAAGCTGCACTGCAAACTTCTTAAAGAAAAGTAAAAAGAGAGAAAGGACAGACTTCGAGAGCTGCTTTGAAAAGCTTGAGCAAGTACTTCAAAGGCACAGACTCTTTGTGTGAGAGCCGTTTGTGACTACCGAGGCACATCCTACCAAAGGCCGAAAGGGGCTGTTGCATCTTTAGGGACGGCCTGAGAAGAGACGAACAGCTCAAGAGAGATTACAGACAGCCCAAAGTCTACCTCGGGCCCAGGCTCGGCCACAGTACAGATGCGCTCTTCTCGTCCAGAACAGCGAGTGCCCGGTGAAAGCTGAGGCCCTCTCACACCCAGCTTGAAACAGCTTAGATTTACATGGTGAGGTGCTCCACAACCCAGTTGGGGTGTACACTGGGCCCACGTGCAAAGCAGGAGTTATCTAACTCCACTGGGAGAATGGCATGTTTGTATTCTTAAATGTGTTTCTTTGTCCCCCTTATAAATATATTTATCAAATGGAGCCTAAACAGCTTAACATTTCATTACTGAAAGAGAAAAAGTAATTCCTCTACTATCTTCTTCCTAAGTAGCAGACGGGAAAGAAAATTCCCGTGACTTACCTCCATTAAAGCCAAGGAGACCACTAATCTATGAAAAAGGTCCCTTCTCAGTTCCTGCTACCATGAGACCAGCAGCCCAGGCTGACAGAGGGGAGGCCGCTCCAGCCTCTGTGCCCTCTGTCTAGCCTCTGCGCATGGACCGTCCTTGGCAGCGCCCGTGCTGCCCACACTCGCTTCATGGCACTGGCAGGAGACCACGCGGCCTCTGCCCGTCCTTGCCTCAGTCTCAGACACAGAAAATCACTTCCCCCACAAACTGCTTACTGATGGCTCCTTGGTCACCATGAGCACACC